CCGCGACATTTGCATCTATTTGCTCATCTTACACACACACACATACTTGTGTGTGTGTGTGTCTTCCGCTAGAACATGGAAGTATCCACTGCCACAACATGGAGATATACACTGCCAAAGACCGAAAATGTGGCAGAGTATATTTCCATATTTTAGCGACAGATTCATTCCCATTTTGTTCATCCTATGCATGGAAATCTCTCTCTCTCTCTCTCTCTCTCTCTCTCTCTCTCTCTCTCTCTCTCTCTCTCTCTCTCTCTCTCTTGCAGCGACATTTGCATCTAACAATTCCTTAGTCCATACGCACACCGGGATTTTTTTTCAATGTATCCGTCTGTCGAGGTGTATCTTCCTATGTTCTTGCGGAAGATTCCTTCTCATTTTGCACATTGCCAGGCTGCTCAGTTGATGCACACTTACACACACACACACACATACAGACCGACATGTTGTGTGTGTGTGTGTGTGTGTGTGTGTGTGTGTGTGTGTGTGTGTGTGTGTGTGTGTGTGTCTTCCCTTAGAACATGGAAGTATCCACTGCCACAACATGGAAATATACACTGCCAAAGACCGAAAATGTGGCAGTGTATATTTCCATGTTTTAGCGACAGATTCATTACCATTTTGCTCATCCTACTCTCTCTCTCTCTCTCTCTCTCTCTCTCTCTCTCTCTCTCCCTCTCTCTCTCTCCGCGACATTTGCATCTGACAACTTCTTAGTCCATACTCACACAAGGATTTCTTTTCAATCAAACCGTTCGTCGCGGTGTATCTTCCTATGTTCTTGAGGAAGATTCCTTCTAATTTTGCACATTGCCAGGCTGCTCGGTTGATGCACACATGGGGGGGGGGAAAAAGTGTGGCAGTGCATATTTCCATGTTTTGGCGCACGATTCGTTCTGATTTTTCTCATCCTACACACACACACACACACACACACACACACACACACACACACACACACACACACACACACACACACATTGCCACGCTTCCTGCCGTGTATAGACAGGACTGGGGCAAGGCTTCGTCGTGTTGGGTCCACTTGTTATCCTTTGATGCTTGCCTAATCACTGCATGATAGAAGCCCACTTTTTTTTTGGGAGGGGGGGGGAAGCTCCACGTAAATTGGTGCTGTCAATTGGCTCTTGAGGCCGAGGTCGCCGGTTTGAATCCATGCTTGCACAGAAGAGGGTGTAGGCCTAGATGGACGGATCCCCAACTATTCTAATGTCTTACCTCTTATATTGCCACGCAAACAAACACTTGGTGAACAGAGCCCCTTACTCAGTTGTGTGTCTCGGTCCATGTTTGGAAGGTCATTACACTACCCCCCTCTCAAGAGTGAGGTCCCTTGGAGCGAGTAACTCATTCTGAGTCCCGACAAACGCATCATAAACGAACATAGCAAAAAGATTTCGCGAGTACTCAATAGCAGTGAGTTTTGCAGAGATTTTTGGTACAACATTAGAGGCTATTTGTCGCTCGTATGCTTTAAAAACATGAGGT